AGACAATCAGTCTGTACAAGATGAATCTCAATCAGTCTGTACAAGATGAATCTCAATACAGGTAAGATGAACTCATCAGTCTGTATCAGGCCTTGAAGAACTGACTACAATCGGTTTACTGTTGTTATCATAAAACAACATTTTTGTTAGTTTCATAAGAAAAAAACCCAGACAAATCAGGAACCTCTCATAAAAAATACTAGTAGCTTAACTGAGTAAAATAATGGTAAGGATCTTGTAAGCTTTTAACATCAAATATTTTTGTTTAAAAATGTGAAATATGTATTTGTGTTACACTATGTCTAATCAAAAACTAAATAACCTGGTATTAGCATCGAGTAAGTTGTAAGCAGAATCTATAGAGAGGATTACATGCATGCATTGTTGTAACATATAAAGTCTTATCCAACTTCACATTACATGAAGCATTAATTATCATTATTAACACTAAATATGCACATGGACATGAATACTATTTTTCAAAACACTGTTTGGATTTGTGAAAGCTCTGCACAAGTTAGAATCCAAGGAAATAAAAAAAAAGAACAAGAACTGTTTGCAACAAAGTGTGCTTTTCTACCAATGATTTTCATCGGAAATCCAGATATGAACAATCACTATAAACACATTGTTAAAAATGTCAGCAAACAACCTTTCAAGGCTATAAGCATCAAAATGATATTAAGAAAAAATATCAAAAAATATCACCCATACAAAAAGTGCTTTACTACCAATGATTTTCATCGGAAATCCAGATATGAACAATCACTATAAACACATTGTTAAAAATGTCAGCAAACAACCTTTCAAGGCTATAAGCATCAAAATGATATTAAGAAAAAATATCACCCATACAAAAAGTGCTTTACTACAAATGATTTTCATCGGAAATCCAGATATGAACAATCACTATAAACACATTGTTAAAAATGTCAGCAAACAACCTTTCAAGGCTATAAGCATCAAAATGATATTAAGAAAAAATATCAAAAAATATCACCCATACAAAAAGTGCTTTACTACCAATGATTTTCATCGGAAATCCAGATATGAACAATCACTATAAACACATTGTTAAAAATGTCAGCAAACAACCTTTCAAGGCTATAAGCATCAAAATGATATTAAGAAAAAATATCAAAAACTATCACCCATACAAAAAGTGCTTTACTACCAATGATTTTCATCGGAAATCCAGATATGAACAATCACTATAAACACATTGTTAAAAATGTCAGCAAACAACCTTTCAAGGCTATAAGCATCAAAATGATATTAAGAAAAAATATCACCCATACAAAAAGTGCTTTACTACCAATGATTTTCATCGGAAATCCAGATATGAACAATCACTATAAACACATTGTTAAAAATGTCAGCAAACAACCTTTCAAGGCTATAAGCATCAAAATGATATTAAGAAAAAATATCACCCATACAAACAGTGCTTTACTACCAATGATTTTCATCGGAAATCCAGATATGAACAATCACTATAAACACATTGTTAAAAATGTCAGCAAACAACCTTTCAAGGCTAAAGCATCTAAGAAAAAATATCACCCATACAAAAAGTGCTTTACTACCAATGATTTTCATCGGAAATCCAGATATGAACAATCACTATAAACACATTGTTAAAAATGTCAGCAAACAACCTTTCAAGGCTATAAGCATCAAAATGATATTGAGAAAAAATATCAAAAAATATCACCCATACAAAAAGTGCTTTACTACCAATGATTTTCATTGAATATCCCAGAAGGCATTGTACGTCAAATTTACGTCATATTTTCGTCAAATGATGGTCAGGACGTCACTGACGAGTATTTGACGAAGATCTGACGTAAATACCCTGACGTCAAATTGATGTCAGAAGTAAAACGTCAGATGTACGTCAAGTGGCCAGAAAACCTGACGAAAATAAAATGTTCACAAAATGTTGATTTTGATTTCAGAAACGATCTCGGGTAAGCGTACTGTTACAGAAAATACTGCTTGTCCCACCTCCCGCCCCTTCAGTTCTAGTTTTGTCAGGATTGAAACAACATTCATGTGATATGATACTCTTTATCCTTCATTAAGCAGTTCTTTCTACAGCTTCATAATTTTAATCAAGCTGTATAAATGAAAAAAATATCTTGGTATATATTGCGGTTGATGTCAATCTGATTAAATTCCAGATCCCAAAATACATCACCAGAAGCCGGTGGGTTTTTTTTTCTCTTGTTACCTCCCTTTAATGGCACATCGAAATTTCGAAAAATAAAATCATCACAAATACATATACACGATAAGAAATTGTTCTATGTCAACAAAAAGCTTTTGTTGGCTATTTGATGCTTTAATTTAAAAATTCAACTACTTTTAGTAAAATATGGAACGATATGAATATTATCACCGGAGCAGTTCGTTCATACTTCACGTCATTTGAAAATTCTAGCGGGCGCTGAGTGTTACGGCAGGAAACGAGGTCACATCGGTTTTTGAATTTTTTACATTTACTTTTGGATTTCTGTCTACAGCTGGTTTATTTTGCTTCATTCTCGGAAAAGGTGAGTTGGTTTATCGCTTAATGTCTGAATTTGCACCGTTATGATTTCACTTAATTTCACTTTTTTTCTTGTTGACTTTTTAGCTGTTTAAAAAATCATGGTGGAAACAGATTACACGAGGTTACACAACTCGTGGCCACCGGATATGGTATTTCTTTCACTCGAGATAGGCTAGTTATGTTTTAAAAGTTATAATAGAAGCTCGCTAAAGCTTGTATCTTTTGTAACTTTAAAAAAAATAACCAACTCGAGTGAAAGAAATGCAATAACCAGCAGTATTTTCTCCACTTCTAGCCATGCAGAATACACAAAGATATACAGCACTTTTTTGCTATAATTTTCATATAACGTATCTATTAATCATTTTCACAAGTTGAATTGTTTTGGGATTTTTTAACCAGGTTTACTGTGCATACATCAATATTTTGACAAAATTGGCTGATATTTTGGGAGAAAAATAGTTAATGTACAAATGTAGGTATGTGTGATATGGATATTCTACCTAAGGGTGTATAAGTTGGGGTCTTAACGGAGGCTTCAAAGGTTATAACCCAAATGGCTCCTGTATGTGTGGTGCAAATTTTGAAGATGCTATACACTTTTTCTTCCAGTGTCCTCTTTACTCACATGTTAGACATCATGTTAATTCAGTATATAATTTATTAGGAAATGTTAACCTTATTGCTTTGCTTTATGGTATCCTTGGAATGTCAGATGAATTTAGTAGTTTTATACTTTATCATACTAGTTCTTATTAAAAAAAACTAAAAGATTCTCAATTTACAAGTAATAATATATACATACAAATCCTATAGTTATAATATTTAGTATACTTAAGGAGTTGTGGATGTAGTGTGGGAGTGAGTATGTGAGTGGTTTATTTTCTTTTCTTTATTCTCTCTTTATTATTATAAACTGAAAAATACCATCCTATTATAAAAAAAGTGATTATATTAATTAATTTAAAATATACCGGTATCATTTGGGAAAAGACTTAATCCCATTGTTTATACTAAGTTTAGACTATTTATTTATGATATGTTATATATTTTGTTATGTATACTATTTATTAACAATAAAATATTTTGAAATTGAAAAAAAAATGTCATAACCCAAACTTCTTCACCTTGGGTAAAATATTCATATCCTACATTCTTCTTTAAATCATTAAAGGAATAAATTTTCTTCCCCATTGCAATATTTTTTAACATTAAATGCAATACTAGAATAAAATAAAGAACAACAAATGTTACATTAGTATTAAGATCTATTGCATTGATCCTTTCAGAAAGCACACAAAGGTGTACAGACTGCAGAGACGCTGACCTGGAAGCAGTGATCGTGTACACATTAAAACATGTGCCCGACAGGAGAAGTGGAGGAGGAAGACACCAGTAAATAATGTTATCAACATTTATTTACATGAATCTCTGTACCAACAATCAATATTTAATATTGTAAACCTATTTTCAGGCATAAAGTTTCATGGAAAACTTCCTCTTTTATTATCTCCTCTTATTTGTATTTAATAATTTGAAGTCCTTCTTGTAACATATTGTGACATTCATGTATTGGGGAAAACATTGTCAACTTTTCATGGGAAATATGGTATTCAAATCTTAATTTTAAGAAGGGTTAGTGGTATTATAATAAAATATACATTAATTTTGTTAGGGGCTCACTCTAACAGAGAATAAATATGAACATTTTATGTTTCAAACATTTTGTAATTTGTGCATTTGGAATGTTTCATGGTTGCTTTTTGTGTATGTATTTATAAATTAGGTTTTCAATATTTTATTACAATAATTTCTTTGTCAAGTTTTTTTTTCCCAATTCTTGTTTATTGTAAAATCTTGAAAAAGAAAATGAATATTTTGTTTCTATTGTGCATGTGTTAAAATAATGACTTTGATAGAAAATTTACACACGAGAAGCTTGTTTTTATTGTCTTTAAGACTAGTTTTGTTATATTTAAACAATGAAGATCATATCATGAATAATTTCTTTTGTCGCTCTTGTCATTTTTGTAAATTTGTTGATTATTGTCATGATACATACATAATTTTTTGTGCAATTATGCTATTAATAAAATTTGTAAGAGGAACTATATTTTGATTTATTTTATTAATATTACTTTTTAATTCTTCAAAGCATCCGCAACGGAACGCATCTGAAGTCAGATTCTGACCAATTCTGACTAATAAATGACGAAAATCTGACGTAAAATACTGACATAATATAGATGTCAGACATTTACGTCAATATTACTTTCATTTCTGACCATTATTTGGCGTAATCCTGACGTCAGGATTAAGTCCAAATCCGACGTAAATTTGACGTAAAATGCCTGCTAGGATCCAGATATGACAAATACATAAACTAGTAGGAGAAACAGTAAAACAAATAACAAATCTAAATTTGTTATTATATAGGTACTCACGATCATTTCTTCATTTGATTTAACTGTGTATTGACAATACTTCGAAGCTTATTCCGTTCATTGTATATTTTGGTTCGTATCAACAAGACTTTACGCTCTGGATTGATGTCTGCAAGAACATTGGGATGTTCTTTGATGAAGGAATATACTTTGACTTTTCCTGAAAAAAAAATTATATTGTTGGTATCCAATTGCTTAGAAAATTTGATTTAATAACTAAGTTTACTACCCCCTCCTTTTGCTGAGGATATTTCATTCAAAATTCTAGTTCACCATTAACCCTGGAAGATTTCTGCAAAATTTCATTAAAATAAGTTAAGGGTTTTTTGAGAAGAAAATGTCAATGGTTAATTGACACACAATGGAATATGATGGACAAAAGGAATTGAAATTTTTGTCTCGGGTGACCTAAGCATAATACCCAATGTAAAAATATTCAGATTGAGTCATGCTTCTCAAATATTTTTTGGACAATGTAATTTACTAGTTTTACTAATCTTCTATTCTTATTATTTATAAATACCGTGTTTTCAATGTGAAAAAAAATTACCTGGTAAACTCCCTTTTCTATCTGTTGTTGATGTGTCAAATACGTATGATTTAAAATGCTCTTTGATAATTTCTGTGTGGGTATCTGGCCATCTTATTCTTTGATCTGAAAATTTGAAGTTTTAAATAATCTGTCAATATCATTAAGTAAAATAATGACTGGATTCAGTTTCTAAAACTTTCCAGTCTAAAAAGAAATTTGGCTGTATTGTTGGAATTGTGTTGGAAATATACTACTGTGAGCACTGAGTGAGGATCTTTAATTTGTCCATATTGTGTCACCAAAGGACCAAGAAAGAATATAATCTACTTTTATCTATTAGCAAAACTGTATGTTCTTTTTAAAGAAATGCAAAGTAATAATGTTTCTAATCTATTCAAGATACTTAAAGAAAGGAGAATGTTCAATTTCTGCTCTGATTAGAACTGTTTGTGTGCTTAAAACATGTGGATTTATCAACTACTCAGTAGCAAAACATTTTTTACATCTTCTATTGTGACTGTGACCTTGACTTGGTACCTTGAAACTTTACCATGATCATCTTCTTATATTTTTTGTTAATATGTATAAATATACATATTTCGTTGTTTCAAACTTTCCAATCAGTTTTGAAATTGTTTGTGTGGCCTTAATTTCTGTCCCCAATGCCTTGAACATTTCATTAAACAAATCATTGTAAAATTGCCAAAAACAATTCTGATATGGGTACACAAAATGTTAACCAGTTTGCAATTAATCCATAGAAATATTAGCCTATATCAACTTGAGCACTACCTTGTGATCTGTTTATGGACAGATTTTACTTTCCTTAATTTCAAACTGTGATGTCTAAACAATCATATACATAAAATCAAAGAGGAATCTGAAAATTTGTTCAGAAAATGTTTAAAACATACTTATAATATTACCCCTATTGAGTTCATAGGTAGCCTATATAAACCAAGTGTTTCTTTGTGGTCTGTTTAACCTTGTAGACAATTTCACTGAACAGTTACATACACAAATTAAAAAAAATATGAAAATAGTAATAGTGCCCTTGACATACACATATGAACAACTAAGGGTCATACTGATTATGACACAGCAAATAGTTCTTGAAAAATCCATCTATGACATTTGACTTCAAATGTCACAAATATCAAAATGTAAATCTGATAACTTGTACCAATTAGTAATAGCATCTTATTTATACATACTCTTCTGTCTGTCTTTTCTGGCAGTGTCATATGTGCAGTTATCTTCAGTATCACTAATATTGTCACTATCACCTTCATCATCAGTGGTGATATCACTGTTACTTGGTGTGTAGTCCTTATCAGCTGCACTATCATAGTCACTCATCTCCCAATCCAGGTCATTGCTACAGCTCCTACTTTGATCCTAAAAAGGAGACAATTTATACTAAAAGAAAATATTTTTGCGTTACTTATCAGAGTGTAAATCTGCAGAATAGTCCTTGAAGTATACAACAGGTCTTTACCTTCATCTCACTTAAATGTTTTACCAAATCAGATTTTGGCTTCATCATTTATCAAATTGGTTCCCAAAGGCATTATATCTAACTTTTCAAAAATTTTCAAAAATTGAATATCAAGTTTCTGATCATTCCTTCCAGTGAACCTTTTAGATTTTTTTTAAATGACGTTCAGGATAAACCACAATTGTGTAAGCATTTTTTAAACTGGCTGTCCAGTCACTACCTACATTCTGAAAGGGGCATCATTCACTTTTTATAACTAAAGTTGATTTCATTGCCTCCCCACCCCCCTACCAAAAATAAATAAGCAAATTAAGGTTTGTTATTTTTTGTATGACTGTGGCTATAACAAACACAATATGAATCGCATCTCCTATTGGATAAAGACAGTCATAGCCTCCTTCATAGATGACGCTTGTTCAAGGACGACAACCCTACATATGTAATTTGTAGTACTTTCTGATAAATAACAATAACTTGAAAAGTTTAAATCTAAGAAGGGTGTCTGTTGCCTTTTTTGGTTTTTCAATCAGTCCTATGATAGACTACATGTGAAGTTTGAGGATGATCTAATCAGTACTTTGGAAGAAATAGCAATAACAAGGATTTTTTGAGGACAGATGGATGGACGTTTGGCAATCTGAACGCCCCATGATTTGAGGATAGTAGGCTAAATAGGTCAACTACAGAATTCTCAAATTTATTGTAAATTGAAAACAAAGTTCGGTTGACCTTTTTACCCATGCCATATGATGACCTCTTTACAACTACACATTCAAAACTTTATAGCTTTTAGTCTTCTACTTTGACTATAACAAAAAAGCAAAAGTATCAACCAAAATTTTTGATAGATAGCATTTGCCAATCTATATTGCTTTGCAATCTGGCCAAAACTGAATTCCTCTGCCCTGCGATAGAGCAGCGAATGAACCCTCTATCCATCAAGACTATATGATACTGCTATACTCGTATCTGGGTCTTACAAAAACATTTTCAAAATTTCATCAAATTTTGCACATTTTGGTTTAGCCATGGATGATCTAAATGGCTGGAGCCTGTACAATCTACTTCCAAATTCAAGTTCACTTTTAGCAAAAATGGTAGATTTCTGTAAAATTTCATTTCAAGTTGGTTGCAAGAATTTTGAAAAATGTCCATTGTTTATGTACTAGCTGCTGACAAAGCCCATTGAACAACTACAAATTTCAAGATGCCTGGTACTTACGAAGGTCATTTTGTAAAAATTTATTTTTAATGACAGCAGTACACAACATTAACAGCCTTACCATTTCTAAGCATTCCTGATGTTTTGCTAAGTTTAATGTCCTTCTTCCATTAGTTTTCTGTTTCTTTGGACTGGCAATCACCTTAAATATGCAAGAATCAATAATAGCTGGAGAAATGTATCTTAAATATTGAGTTATCTCCAAGTTGCTGGTGTTTTCCGCTTTAACAACTAATTACGAAATTTAATCAAAATCTCTTCCATATCATTTGCCATGATCTTCCGGTAAATTTACATGAGAGAGAGAATGTGTCAGAGATGGCCAGACTATTATATATCCCTTTGATTTTCACATCAGCTATGGCAGCTATTACTATTCACTTCTTAGTTTATGCAAATGTAATAGTTTAATTTTTATGACTGAAAATTATACATACTGTCACTTTGTTTGCAGCTTTCCGTTTTCTAAGTGGATCAGAAGTAACAGTGCTAGGTCCTGGCACGCACGAATCCTGAAAGTAAAATGCACCAGAAAGCATGTTTGATATATATCTACGCTCACAGTAGACTGATTGTACGATATAACAATACATGATTAAATATGTAATATAAATTTTTAAAAATATCATAATGTATGAATTTTTTCATACTATGCTGTTCATGATTTTTTTTTTCTTTTTTTCAAAATTTGTTTGTCAATCTTTTAAAGCTCACATCTTCAAGCTATTGCATTAAAATAAGTGCAATAAATTAAACAACACTTTACATCAAGTGGCCCTTGTGTTTCCGTTGGCTGAACTGTTGTCATTTCATTGGCAGATTCCATCTCAGTTAAACTGCACTTGCTAACATCAAAAGTATGATCTATATAAAATATGGAATAGGTTTTACTTTTGGAATAAAAAATACATATTCATTGAAAACATCAAAATGTCACTACCTTGCAGTCGATGCACTAATACAAAGTCAACTTATATATACTTATGACTTCCTTTATGTTATCCAATGTAATTAGGTCTGTAAATTTAATTAAAAATCAAAGATTTTTTTTTCTCATTTTAGCCATGTCAGTCATTTGAGTTTTGTAGTTTTTAAGAAAGAGCGGTCAAATCTTCATCTTGAACACTTGATCATCCTCAAAAAAGATCCATAATATTTTCTTGAAGTTTCAAAACGATATCTCAAACAGTTAAAAAAAATCACAAACTCCATCAAACTCAACATCTGATTTGCAGAACTAGGACCAATTCTTTGTTCCTAATTTTGATGAAGATCTTCTCAGTAGCTCTTGAGAAATAACTACCACAATAAAATGTACGTGTAATTGGACAGGTCAGATCAGATGACTCAAACTTTATGAATACATAAAGAACAAATGTCAAGACTTAACATCACAAAAATAAAACTAATTTCTAAATCAAAACATACTTACAAAGACGTTTATCAAGGTTTTCAAAGAACTTGCCAACTTTTGTCACTTCCTGAATTGCCAGTGGGCACTGGTATACATTCTTATTTATGTCTTCAGAGTGACCCATATGCTGATAAAACAACCTTCGTTCATTTTCTGGGATATCCAGTGCAGCATATATTGTTGAGGCTCTGTGTCTCATTGATGTTGCATTAATATGAGACAAAATATCAGCTTTTTTACACACAGATTCAACAGCATGCCATCCTTTCACATGATGTGCAGAATTCTGTGTTAGAGGGAAAAGAAATATGTTGTCTGCTCTTACTCCAGCAGCTTTTCTTATTTCACTGCATGCCAGTTTTCTAAGTCCCTCAAGGCAGTCATTTGGAATTAAAATTGGTACCATCTGATTGATGTTTTTACCAGACTGGTAGGCTATTCTGAAGTTCCCTAACATTCGCTTCTCAATCGGGTCATCTATGGCTTGAACAGCTGAATCTCCTATCCAGACACCATTTTCTGCATCTTTCCATTCCTTAAGCAGTAAACGACTTGGTTCTCCCCCTCTGCGGGCATTAAATAGTGTAAGGCGTGAAACAAGAATATCTCTCAAAATTATGTACTCCTGATTACTTATCAGTACATAAGGATCTAGTATTCTATTCTGTTCTTCAATCATAAAACTCCTTAGTTTCTGAATGTCTTCTTCAATGGGTAAATGTTTAGGCTTCCTCAAATCTGTTTGTCTGGCTTTCACATTTGCATACTGTGCGTCACTGAATATTGAATTCCAAAAGTATGATAGCACTGTGAGAAAATTTTCCACCTCCTTTGCTTTGTCATCAGCTTTCTGCACCAGGTAATGGCCTTTCAAAACATTCGCTGATCTCTTTAAAAGAAATCCTAAGGAAACTTTCAGGCCAGTCTTTATAGACCCATCCTCCTTTGTAGTTATGTTGTCAAGGGCATCTCGAAGAAACATGAAATGATTTCGGTTTAACATTTCAACTGTAGATGTAATTTTACATTTCTTCTGTTGTGCTAAGGATTTAAAATTTAGGAACAAGTTCGCAAACTTTCTCATGTCAGCCATTATTGCATCTCTTAGTTCTCCTTTCTTCTCTTTCCTTGACTGAATTTTCACAAAATTTTGCATTCCTAAAAGTTTAATAAAATCATCAGAACGACATAATTCTCCTACTTCATCTCTCCTAAATTTAGAGAGCACTTGATCTCGAAATTGATCCGAGTCATTTATTACTAAAAGAGATACTGGGACTGCTTCTGGTTGTGTAGTTGTAGATTCAGCAGCAATGCATTGACGCTTGTGTCTGTACATTGTCTTTGCAGAATAGAAGCCATTACATATTGAGCACACAGACAATGGATGTTGAACTTTTCCTTGTCGTCTTTCTCTGATCATATGATTTTCTATTTTACTTTGTGATGGATTGCTTCCTAATGTTTGCAACGTTTTTTTATTGGCTAGCATTATGCCATCTTTGCGAATTTGGTCAAATGCTTGATTTTGTAATTCTTTTGGCAGTTGCATGGCCAATTTAACACGTTCTTCTGTGGAATGCTTTTTCTTGATGTGCCTTACAAGTTTTGATTGCATCACACCACAAAAAAGACAGGGCCTAAAAGGTTTTCCTTTACCATGAGTTACCCATGTGTCCACATCTGAAAAAACATAAGATATTACTTTCTTTTGAACTTAAGGTACAAGGGGCTTGCATCAAACATTCGGCTAATTCTTTAATTCAAATATTAAGTTCAACTGAATATGTGAATATCTATTTATGTTGGATACTTACTCTTTTGAATCAGTCTCAAAACGTGTCCAATATTACTTAAAACAACACGTAACCTACCTACTCAATTAAAAAAACATGTTAAAATAACCACCTGTTTGCCTTTGTGTTTATCTTTACTGGGATTTTTTTCATATTTAATGGGTTGGTAAATTTCAATTCAGTTACTTGTCATGCACACATACAATTAATTATGAATATTCCTCTGAGAATAACAATAACAAGGAACTGATTTTACAATCCCCAAACAAGAATAATAACTGAATCTGTGCATCTTAATTTCATCGCATCCCACCTGATTGACTTTCTGCTTTTCTACAGGAAGTCAAACTGCATGATTTTTTAGTTCCACTGTCTTGCTTTTTGTTGATATTCTGAACAAGTTGATTGTCTTGGTGTGTTTCATCTTGTAGTAAATTACACCTGCTGCCACATATTTCGTCAACTTTTGGTTCTGGAACCCTTTTCTCCAGTGTGTTTTTTGTTTCTGGAGGATCTGCATGATCAGATCTTCTTTGATGATCCTGCAAATATTGTTTACACAGATATAAGATTTCAGTGCATAACATTAGCTTTAAAAAACATTATAACCATACACTTAAATTTCTGGCATTGATGTAATAAATATGTATATATTATAAACATATTAAATTTTGTCTAGGATCAAAATTTCTGTCAGGTGGAAGTCCTGTCTCAATGCAGAACTTGTAGTTGAAGATATTTTTCAAGATAAAAGTAATGTTTTAAAGGTCAACTTAAATGTCACCAGGGTTCAAATTTCTTTCAGGACCAACTAAGAAATATATTCCCTAATTATGCTGCAGGGCATGTCATAATTATTATGTATTTAGAGGTAGTGCTTAAGCAAACATTTAAATGTCTGTTGATGTATTTTTACAAAAATCAGAATATAATTTTGGTATCTAGTTATCCATCACTATTTTGCTTAATATCAGAATAAAAAAATTGAAACAAGAGGCCCATGGGCCTTAATGGTCATCTGACTACAAAGACCTGGATAATATCTTTTGGTTATTGAGAATAAAATGCTTCACAGTATTTTGGTGGGTTAGGAGTCTTCTGGGTTGGTTTTTTTTTTTTTTTTTTTTTGTCTTTTTGAGTTTTTTGGGGTTTTCTTTGGTAATTTGTGCCGCCCCCAACAGAAAGTGATCATGACAGACCGACAACAAGTAGTATAACTTCAAATGAGACTTATGATTTCTGTCATACAAACATTTATTATTTCATTTATAACATTTACCATTTATACAACTGATTAAAGTCACCATTTCATTTAAAAAAAAAAAAGTTATTGACAAAAATGGTAATGATGACAATGAGGATTGAATAATAGACTAGCCTATAAGGAATCTCTAAATGAGTATGCTGAAGCATAGTAGAGTAATACCTAGAATAATTCTTTAACAAAGACAGTGTACACGTTGCATCTAAGAGAGTGAAAAAACAGCCCATGATAAATTTTGAAATTTATCATCTAAATGAGTCAATTACAGTACAATATCCATGAATAAGAGTTAAACACCTATGGAGACAACACTGTGATTCTGAATTAAGGAATTGTAGAGCACCTTGTAAGGATGTATCAGACAAAATCTGGAAGAAATCCATCAATGCCTGAAGGAGGAGTAGCATTTTAAAGATATTTCAACTAATTTCCCCTTTTTCGAAGGTGGAACAGCATTTTTAAATAAAAGTTTACACATGCCCAACAATGACTAGAAAGTCATGTTGATCCTTTGGGTCAAATGACCAAAAACGTTTGGAAGAAATTCACAAAAGAATGAAGAAGGAGTAGCATTTTAAAGCTTAATTTCAGCTAATTGCTCCCTTTGGGTTTCCAACCCTCGGCCCCCAGGATTGGAATTGAAATTCCAAATTTAAGAACTATATGTCTTCACCAAATGATGCATCCAACAACGTTTGGATAAAATCTGCAGAAGAATAAAGATAGAGTAGCATTTAAAAGCTTTATTCCTGTCAATTCCTCTTTTGGGGGCCCCATCCCTCAGTCCCTAGGGGTCGAATCAAAATTTTCAATTTAAGAAGTAAATGGTACCCCCAAATGATGCATCATACCAATTTTGGTTGAAATCCATGGAGAAATGAAGGAGAAGTAGCATTTTAAATTCAAATTTTAGCTAAATTCCCCATTTTGGCCCTGCCCCTTGGTCCCTCGGGCTTGAATCAAAATTCTAAATATAAGAATTATATGTCTTCACCCAATGATGCATCCATCAAAGTCTGGAAGAAATCCACAGAAGAATAAAAAAGGAGTAGTATTTTAAAACTTAATTTCAGGTCCCACCCTTTGCTCCTAGGGGTCGAATCAAAATTTTGAATTTAAGAATTGAATGGAACCACCCAATGATGCAGCACACCAATAAAATTCATGAATAAATGAAGGAGAAGTAGCATTTCAAAGCTTCTTTGATTATTTCGCTCTTTGGGGCCCCGCCCCTCTGCCCCTAGGGTTCAAATCAAAATTCTGAATACAAGAATTGATAACCCTCGGCCAATATAGAAAATAGATGACTGCACTAATATTGTCAAAAGTACAGACAGATGAAATCAAGAGTTTGGAGACTGAAGTCATTTAAGGCCTTAAGATTGATCACAGATCACAGGCTGATAGCAAATTGAAGTCCATGGCCATCTGTGCAGATCTGTGCATGAACTTTATGTTCATGCTTGAAAGGTCTGTGCAATGTGTCAACATTTTGCGGGAAATTGATTAATAACAAGTTCTTATCACAATGTAATGTTATGTAACCTCATAACAGAAGTTCACAATGCAAAAATTCATTTAAATATCCAGAATGAACCAAATCTGACAACATTTAAATTCAACCAATTTGAAAGCAGTAAAAAGTACTCATTTTTTACAATCAGGTAGGAAACAGTTGTTTCCATATTGAATTTGTAGTGTCATGTTTCCATATTGAATTTGTAGTGTCATAATACACCTGCATATCAAGTTTAATCAAATCACTAAATGAGGAAATGACACTATCTTATCCAATTAGGAAACAGACATCACCCTAGTGTTTGTAATATCATTATACACCAAAGTTTGATTCTGACCAACTTTGCTTCATGAAATCAAAACAAAATATAAACAACTTGTAACCACCAATGTAAAATATTACCTTAAACTTTGACCAGATGACATTGAGCTTTGGTTCGTTCATATATGTACCATGTTTAATTGTGACAAACTTGACTTCACAATGTATCTGTAAAGTTTGACTTAGACCAATAAAATTAATCGTTGGTCAGCTGAAACCTTATTTGATTATGACTAATTTCACTTTATAATGTTTTGAAATGTTTAACAGTTAAAAAATGTAAAATTTGACTCCATAAACTTATACTTAGATCCACTGACTTTTTGTTGTGGCCAATGTTGCTTCATAATAAAATAACATAATGTTTACCACTTTCGAGAATTAATACTTAAGTCTTTAATGTTAAAATCCAAGACAGCTGAAATGCAGTCATTTTTAAATCTGACTGGCGTGAATAATTACCTCGCAGAACTAGAATGCTGGGAATATCACATGAATTTTTAAAATGTACTCCATTTACTTCCATCAAAGACTTCACCTCATTTGACTTAACCTGGAGCCTAGGATTGTATTGCTGACCTAGATATTTCACCACTTATGACAAATTATTTTCAAAGTTTACCTCTGTTAGTATTATAATACACTACCACTAAGGAAGTAAGAGTAGATCCACCGTTTATACAAAATTGAGTCACCTTCACCAAAGAATGCTGCAAACACTTCTAAAGTTACATTTACAGACCAAACACAACATGTTTTCTCAATACCCCACCATAAGCAATTTTTTTACTTACCAATGTCAATTTCTCAAGCAGAACGTAGCAGCAGGAATTCCCTGTAAAGAGAAAGTACTGATTTACAACAAATTCATAACCTCTTTTCAACTCATTTTGATATCAGATTCACACAGCTACAGTTTGACCTGTATAATAGTATCAATAGATTTTGGAGGCAGAGGTAAAATGTTTGATTAACAAAGGACTCCCTGACTATCTTCACTACACTCCTGACTGTCTACCCTACATTCCTGAATATCTACCCTACACTCCTGACTGTCTATGCTACACTTCTGACTTTCTACCCTACATTCCTGAATATCTACCCTACACTCCTGACTGTCTACCCTCCAATCCTCACTTTCTACCCTACATTCCTGAATATCTACTCTACACTCCTGACTGTCTACCCTACACTCCTGACTATCTATCCTACACTCCTGACTGTCTTTGCTACACTCCTGACTATCTACCCTACACTCCTGAATATCTACCCTACACTCCTGACTATCTACCCTACACTCCTCACTTTCTACCCTACACTCCTGACTATCTACCCTACACTCCTGACTATCT